TCGCTCGGCGTCAACACCATCTGGCTCTCGCCCATGTACGACTCGCCGCAGATCGATATGGGCTACGATATCTCGGACTACCAGGCGGTCTATCCTCCCTACGGCACGCTGAGCGACATGGATGAGCTCATTCGTGAGTGCCACGCACGTGGCATCAAGCTCATCCTGGATCTGGTCATCAACCACACCTCGGACCAGCATGCGTGGTTCCAAGAGTCCAAGAAAGACAAGACCAACCCGAAGAGGGACTGGTATATCTGGCGACCGGCCAAGTATAGTGCGACGGGAGAGAGGCGGCCTCCGAACAACTGGAGAGGTGCACTGAACCAGTCGGCTTGGACGTGGGACGAGCATACGCAGGAGTACTACCTCCATCTATTCACGCCTCAACAGCCGGACCTCAACTGGGCCAACGACGAGTGTCGACATACGCTCTACCGCGATGCAATCGAGTTCTGGCTCGAGCGAGGCGTGAATGGGTTCAGGGTGGATACGGTCAACCTGTACAGCAAACCCGAGGGACTGCCCGACGCACCCGTCACCGATCCCACCGCCGAATGGCAGAACGGCGACAGTGTGTTTTGCAACGGCCCACGCATGCATGAATATCTGCAGGAGATGGGCACGATCTTTGCGCGGTACGACGCCATGACGGTGGGCGAGCTTCCGTCTACCCCTCGCGTCGAAGATGTGCTGCGTTACATCTCGGCTTCGCGCAACGAGCTGAGCCAAGTCTTTCAGTTTGACATTTCGGCGCTCGGAAGATCGCCAGATGACTTTTATGCTCGGCACGACTTTTCGCTCCAGCAGCTCAAAGAAGTGGTGGAAAGGTGGCAGAGGTTCATCGAGGGCACCGATGCGTGGCCCACGGTGTTTTTGGAGAACCACGATCTGCCAAGGGCAATCAGCAAGTACGCAAGCGACCGGCCCGAGGACACCACAGCATCGGGGAAACTGCTCGCCCTCATGCAGGTCGGATTGACGGGTACGTTGTACATCTACCAGGGTCAGGAGATCGGCATGACGAATGTACCCCGCTCCTGGGGTCACGAGGAGTACAAGGATGTTATTGCAATCAACTACTATCGGGTTGCAGCCGCGCGCGGTAACAAAAAACGGCTCGTCAAGGCGCTGGACGATATCAACTTTCATGCGCGCGACAACGCGCGGACGCCGGTGCAGTGGACCGCGGCCCCGCACGGCGGATTCAGCGAGGATCCCGCAACGACGCCGTGGATGCGAACCAACGACAACTACACCA